CACCGCGTTCACCACCTGCACCAGGAAACAACAACCGGAAATGGGAATGTGGGAAACGACCGGGAATCACGCAATGGGGATATGGGAAACAACCGGGAATCACCGTGTTCACCACCTGCCCGGGAAACAACAACCGGAAACAACCGGGAATCACGGCGTTCACCACCTGCACCGAAAACAACAACCAGAAACAACAACCGGGAATGAGGGACACGGGAAACAACCGCCTGCACTGGAAACAACAACCGGAAACAACAACCGGGAATGATGGAGTGAGGGACACAGGGAACAACCGGGAATGATGGAATGGGGGAAACAACCGGGAATCACCGCGTTCACCACCTGCACCGGGAAACAACAACCGGAAACAACCGGGAATCACCGCGTTCACCACCTGCACCGGAAACAACAACCGGAAACAACCGGGAATCACCGCGTTCACCACCTGCACCAGGAAACAACAACCGGAAACAACCGGGAATGACGGAGTGAGGGACACGGGAAACAACCGGGAATCGCCGCATTCACCACCTGCTCCAGGAAACAACAACCGGAAACAACAACCGGGAATGACGGAGTGAGTGACACAGGGAACAACCGGGAATGATGGAATGGGGGAAACAACCGGGAATGATGGCGTTCACCACCTGCACCGGAAACAACAACCGGAAACAACCGGGAATGACGGAATGGGGATATGGGAAACAACCGGGAATCGCCGCATTCACCACCTGCACCGGAAACAACAACCGGGAATGATGGCGTTCACCACCTGCCCTGGGAAACAACAACCGGAAACAACTGGGAATGACGGAATGGGGACATGGAAAACAACCGGGAATCACGGAGTTCACCACCTGCCCCAGGAAACCACAACCGGGAATGACGGAGTGAGGGAACGGGAATGGGAACGGGAACGGGAACGGGAACGGGAATGGGAATGGGAATGGGAATGGGAATGGGAACAGGAACGGGAATGGGAATGGGGGAATGGGAATGGGAACGGGAATGGGAATGGGAACGGGAACGGGAATGGGGGAATGGGAACGGGAATGGGAACGGGAATGCGAACGGGAACGGGAATGGGAATGGGAATGGGGGAATGGGAACGGGAACGGGAATGGGGAACAGAACAGGAACGGGAATGGGAATGGGAACAGGAACAGGAATGGGAACGGGAATGGGAACGGGAATGGGGAACAGAACAGGAACGAGAACGGGAACAGGAATGGGGAACAGGAACGGGAATGGGGAACAGAACAGGAACAGGAACGGGAATGGGAACGGGAATGGGAACAGGAATGGGAACAGGATCAGGGACGGGAATGGGAACAGGAACGGGAATGGGAACAGAACAGGAACAGGAACGGGAACGGGGCTGCCCAGAGGCTGCAGGGCTCTCGCTCCCGGGAGTGTCCAAGGCCGGGTTGGACGGAGCCTCCAGTGACTCCATGGGAGCGGCCACAGGAACAGAGTGACCCAACGGTGACCCCAGAGTGACCCCACGGTGACCTCAGGGTAACCCAGAATGACCCCACAGGAATAGAGTGACCCCATGGTGACCCCAGAGTGACCCCACAGTGACCCCATGGGAATCCCAGAGTGACCCCATGGTGACCTCAGGGTGACCCCACGATGACCTCAGAGTGACCCAGAGTGACCCCACAGGAACAGAGCGACCCCACAGGGATCAGAGTGACCCCACGGTGACCCCACGGTGACCTCAGAGTGACCCCGAGTGACCCAAGAGTGACCCTGAGTGACCCCACAGTGACTCCACGATGACCCCAGAGTGGCCCCCCAGTCCATCCCTGTTCTTCCCAGTCTATCCCAGTCCATACCCAGTTGAGGCTCAGCTCACGGCTGATCTCGTGGCTCTCCCAGTCCCTCCCAGTTCATCCCAGTCCATCCCAGTCCCTCCCAGTCCATCCCAGTCCCTCCCAGTCCGTACCCAGTTGAGGCTGGGCTCGCGGCTGAACTCGTGGCTCTTGGCGGCGCTGAAGTCGTAGTCGGGCCGGAACGCCTCGTTCAGGGTGGCGATCAGGTAGAAAAGCGTCTTGCGGCTGCACGTGTGGCTGAGGGGAGCGCGGCCCAGTCTGGGGGGTAAACTGGTGTTACTGGTGTGTCACTGGTGTGTCACTGGTGTGTCACTGGTGTGTTACTGATGTGTTACTGGTGTATCACTGGTGTGTCACTGGTGTGGCTGAGGGGAGCGCGGTGGGTTAAACTGGTGTTACTGGTGTCACTGGTGTGTCACTGGTGTGGCTGAGGGGAGCCCGGCCCAGTCTGCGGGTTAAACTGGTGTTACTGGTGTCACTGGTGTGTCACTGCTGTGTCACTGGTGTGTCACTGCTGTGTTACTGGTGTGTCACTAGTGTGTCACTGGTGTGTCACTGCTGTGTTACTGGTGTGGCTGAGGGGAGCCTGGCCCAGTCTGTGGGTTAAACTGGTGTTACTGGTGTGTTACTGGTGTCACTGGTGTGTTACTGGTGTGTCACTGGTGTGTCACTGGTGTGTCACTGGTGTGTTACTGGTGTGGCTGAGGGGAGCGCGGCGGGTTAAACTGGTGTTACTGGTGTGTCACTGGTGTGTCACTGGTGTGTAACTGGTGTGTCACTGGTGTGTCACTGGTGTGTAACTGGTGTGTCACTGGTGAGTCACTGGTGTGTAACTGGTGTGTCACTGGTGACTCACTGGTGTGTTATTGGTGTTACTGGTGTATTACTGGTGTGTTACTGGTGCGTCACTGGTGTGTTACTGGTGTGTCACTGGTGTGTAACTGGTGTGTCACTGGTGTGCTACTGGTGTGTCACTGGTGTGTCACTGGTGTGTCACTGGTGTGTCACTGGTGTGTTACTGGTGTGTCACTGGTGTGTCACTGGTGTGTCACTGGTGAGTCACTGGTGTGTAACTGGTGTGTCACTGGTGTGTCACTGGTGACTCACTGGTGTGTTATTGGTGTTACTGGTGTATTACTGGTGTGTTACTGGTGTGTCACTGGTGTGTTACTGGTGTTGCTCAGGGGACCCCTGCCCAATCTGGGCATTAAACAGATCCCATCCCATGGATCCCATCCCATGGATCCCATCCCATCCCAGGGCTGATCCTGGGACAATCCCACATTCCCGGTGCCAATCCCACGTTCCCAATCCCCCACTCCCGGTGCTGATGCCAGTGCTGATCCCACATTCCCGATCCCACATTCCTGGTGCCGATCTTGGTTCCGATCCCCCGTCCCCGATCCCACGTTCCTGGTGCCGATCCCGGTGCCGATCCCAAATTCCCGGTGCCAATCCCACATTCCCAGTGCCGATCCCACATTCCCTGTGCCATTCCTGAGCCCCCATTCCCGGTGCCGATCCCACATTCCCGACGCCATTCCCATTCCCGGTGCCATTCCCCCATTCCCGGTGCCGATCCCGGTGCCGATCCCCCATTCCTGGTCCCCCATTCCCGATCCCATTCCCAATGCTGGTGCCGATCCTGATCCCCCATTCCTGATCCCCCATTCCCGATCCCTTTCCTGGTGCCGATCCCCCATTCCCAATGCCATTCCCGGTGCTGATCCCACATTCCCTGTGCCATTCCTGAGCCCCCATTCCCGGTGCCGATCCCACATTCCCGGTGCCATTCCCATTCCCGGTGCCGGTACCTGCCGGGGCTGAGGCCGGAGGTCTGGGGTGGGGACAGAGCCTCCAGCGCCTGCGGCCGCCCCTCGAGGCAGAACTGCTTGAAGAGCTGCTTGTCAATCCCGGCCAGCTTGCAGGAATAGCTCTCGATCCTGCCGGGATAAAGCACCGGAAAACCGGGAATCAGGGAATAAACCACGGGAATGGCTGGCTGGGAATAAAGCACGGGAATGGCTGGGAATAAAGCACGGGAATGGATGGGAATAAAGCACGGGAATGGATGGGAATAAAGCACAGGAATGGCTGGGAATAAAGTACGGGAATGGATGGGAATAAACCATGGGAATGGCTGGGAATAAACCATGGGAATGGCTGGGAATAAACCACGGAAAAAGATGGGAATAAACCAAGGGAATGGGGGGAATAAACCATGGGAAAGGCTGGGAATAAACCACGGGAAAAGATGGGAATCAAGGAATAAACCATGGGAAAGGCTGAGAATAAACCACGGGAATGGCTGCGAATAAAGCACGGGAATGGATGGGAATAAACCACGGGAATGGCTGGGAATAAAGCACGGGAATGGGGGGAATAAACCACGGGAAAAGATGGGAATAAACCACGGGAATGGGGGGAACGAACCATGGGAAAGGCTGGGAATAAACCACGGGAAAAGATGGGAATAAACCACGGGAAAGGCTGGGAATAAACCACGGGAAAAGATGGGAATCAGGGAATAAACCACGGGAAAGGCTGGGAATAAACCACAGGAAAAGCTGGGAATAAACCACGGGAATGGCTGGGAATAAAGCACGGGAATGGATGGGAATAAAGCACGGGAATGGGGGGAATAAAGCACGGGAACGGATGGGAATAAACCACGGGAAAGGCTGGGAATAAAGCACGGGAATGGATGGGAATAAACCACGGGAATGGGGGGAATAAACCACGGGAAAGGCTGGGAATAAACCACGGGAATGGATGGGAATCAGGGAATAAACCATGGGAAAGGCTGGGAATAAACCACGGGAAAAGATGGGAATGGGGAGAATAAACCATGGGAAAGGCTGGGAATGGTGGAAATAAAGCACCGGAAAACTGGGAATCAGGGAATGAACCACGAGAAAAGATGAGAATAAACCACAGGAAAAGATGGGAATAAAGCATGGGAATAGTGGGAATAAACCACAGGAAAAGCTGGGAATAAAGCATGGGAATAGTGGGAATAAACCACAGGAAAAGCTGGGAATAAAGCATGGGAATGGTGGGAATCAGGGAATAAATCATGGGAATGGCTGGGAATAAAGCACGGGAATGGCTGGGAATAAACCACGGGAAAAGATGGGAATAAACCACGGGAAAAGATGGGAATAAACCACGGGAAAAGATGGGAATAAACCACGGGAAAAGATGGGAATAAACCACGGGAATGGTGGAAATCAGGGAATAAACCACGGGAAAGGCTGGGAATAAAGAACAGGAATGGATGGGAATAGACCACGGGAAAGCTCGGAATCAGGGAATAAACCACGGGAAAAGATGGGAACAAAACATGAGAAAAGCTGGGAATAAACCATGGGGAAAGCTGGGAATAAACCATGGGAAAAGCTGGGAATGAGGGCAATAAACCATAGGAAAAGATGGGAATAAACCACAGGAATAAACCACAGGAAAAGTTGGGAATAAACCATGGGAAAGGCTTTTCCGGAACATTCTCCGGGCACCGCGAGAACGAGGAATCAAAAACGGATTAAAAATTAATTAAAAGTGAATTGAAACTTAATTAAAAGTGAAATGAAAATTAATTAAAACTGAATTAAAACCAAATTACAACCAAATTAAAACCAAACTAAAAACTAATTAGAATTTAAGTAAAAGCCAATTAAAAACAAATTAAAAATTAACTATAAGCAAAATAAAACTCATTTGAATTAAAATCAAATTAAAACCGAATTAAAACCAAATTAAAAATCAATAAAAATGAATTAAAAATTAATTAAAAACGAATTAAAAGTGAATTAATTAAAATCCAATTAAAACCAAATTAAAACCAAATTAAAACCTAATTAATTAAAACGGAACTAAAACTGAATTAAAAATTAATTAAACTCAAATTAAAAACTAATTAAAACCGAATTAAAACCTAATTAAACTGCTCAATGAGGAGCCAAGGGGTGGAGGAGGCCGAATATTCCCAGTTTGTGCCAGAATCGGGATAAAAACCGGGATTCTGAGGGCAGAATTCCCAGGTTTCCAGGGCAGAATTCCCGAGTTTTCCCGGTCAGAATTCCTGGTTTTCTGGGCAGAATTCCCAGGTTTCTCAGGGCAGAATTCCCAGGCTTCCCAGGGCAGAATTCCCGGTTTTCCTGGGCAGAATTCCCGGTTTTCTGGGCAGAATTCCCAGGTTTTCTGGGCAGAATTTCCAGGTTTCTCAGGACAGAATTCCCAGGTTTTCCCAGGCAGAATTCCCAGTTTTCTGGGCAGAATTCCCAGGTTTAATGGGGCAGAATTCCCAGGTTTAATGGGGCAGAATTCCCAGTTTTCTGGTCAGAATTCCCGGGTTTCTCAGGACAGAATTCCCAGGGCAAAACTCCCACGTTTCTCAGGACAGAATTCCTGGTTTTCTGGTCAGAATTCCCAGTTTTCTGGTCAGAATTCCCGGTTTTCCGGTCAGAATTCCCAGTTTTCTGGTCAGAATTCCCGGTTTTCCCTCACCTGCCGATGATGTGGGCATCGCCCGTCTCCACGGTCAGCTGGGAGTTGATGGCTTCGAAGCTGGAATTCTCCAGCAGCTTCATCCTCCTGGAGCCAATTCCCGGCGATTCCCGGTGATCGATAATTCCCGGTGATCGATAATTCCCGGTGATTATTCCCGGTGATTATTCCCGGTGATTCCCGGTGCAGCAGCTGCTCCCGAGAGGGGAACGGGAGGAACGTGAGGGGAACCGGGACGGGGACAGGAAGGGAAAAGAGGGAAAAGAGGGAAACGGGAAAAGAGGGGAAAAAACAGAAACGGGAAAGGAAACGGGAAAAGAGAGGGAAAAGGAGCGGAAGAGGAAGAGAAACTTGAGGAAGAGCGGGCGGGAAAGGGAGAAAGGGTGACAGGAGAAAGGGGAGAGGCAGAGAAAGAAAAAGAGGAGGGAAAAGAGGGAGAAAAACAGGAAAAGGAGCAGGAAAAATCTCCCGCGTTCCCGGGCGGCGCCATAGGAAGCGCAGTCCCGGCGTGCCCCGCGCGCTGGACTACAGCTCCCGGCATGCCCCGCGCGGGGACTGGCAGGGCTCCACTGCCGGCCTACAGCTCCCGGCATGCCCCGCGCGGGGACTGGCAGGGCTCCACTGCCGGCCTACAGCTCCCGGCATGCCCCGCGCGGGGACTGGCAGGGCTCC